AATTTATTTCTATTTGATTAAATAGAAGCTATTAATCATTCTTGTGATTACTTGAGCTTTTAGACAATTTAATTGTTTATGCTAACCATATAAAATACATTAGTATTTATTTGTGCGTATGAATTCACCAGCACAAATGTCAACAGTTTCAGTTATTCGAATCATAAACTCGATCTATAGAATGTTGTGTCAATAATCGTTAAATTTATATTTGCATTATGATTATAAAGCATGTTCAGACAAACGGACTGAAAATTATAAAAACTCTCAATAACAAAAAAATTGAGAGTTTAAGAATACTGAAGCTAAGTTGCTAAATATTTGTCAACGATGAAATAGTCATGATATATTTTTTTATCTTAAATTATATTATCTGTGCTTTACTCACAAGTTTTTATCGTTTTTGACGCAATCGACCTGACAAATGGCATCAAAATAAATTTTTTTTTTTTTTTTATTTATGATCAATAAATTTTCAGATAAATTTTCGCTGTGTAAATTCTATAGATAACAAGTGTTAAACATTAATATGCTAGTAAAAATCATTTGAGCTTATTATTTAATTACAGTTCTAAGCTTGATGAATTTTACTGCACATGATGGGGCGTATTTGAGACTGCANTTCTAAGCTTGATGAATTTTACTGCACATGATGGGGCGTATTTGAGACTGCATCTCGGGGAGGGAGCAATATTAAGACAGATCAACCCATTTTCATTAAAGAAAATGTAAAAATTAAAATAAATATTAGGTTTGAACTTATTTATAGAAAGATTTCTCAGTTTTTCATAATGTATCAAATATTAGTATTGGTAACATGATAATTAGAAATAAAAGTTTAAGACCAAAAATATGTTAAATATTATAATAATATTAAACTTGTATAATTTTAGAATAATATATATTAACGCAAAATGAGTTTTGATTATTGATCAAATTTATTTTTAAATTTGTTAACAACACTTTGAATGATGAATTAAAGGTTCTCGTTTTAACACCTTTTATTAAATTATATAATAAAGCTATTACAGTACATAAACCAAATCTCGAATATTACCAAAATTTTAGTTTATAACATCAATCTCACGTTAAAATTAGAAATAAAATTAAAATACACAAAGTTCCAAAAAATTATTGATTTGGTGAAAAATAATGATTATAAACGATTTTACTTTTAATCGTTTTAGATAACTTAATAAATAATCGCTCCTTATAAAAATATCTAATAGTATGCTATTTTCAAATTATTTTTTTTAATTTTAGGTTTTATTCATTTTTATATTTGAAAATGTTAATTCACAGAACAAATTTACTATATAAAAATTCTTCTCGATAAAATCAATACATTTTTTATTAATATAAGTTTAACAATATTGTTGTTAATTAAATAGTATTTTTTTAATAGTTGAATCGTTTTAGCCTCCATACTAAGCTGAGAAGGTAGTAATTTTACCATGATGGGTTTTTTTTTTAATCCCTTAACTTATCTTTTGAATGTATTCCGGAAATACTGACAATTTTATATATATATA